CGGTCCCGAGATTACCGAATGTAACCGTCGCGAGATTAGCGGGACTACCACCCATAAGTAGAGGACCTCACTCCCCGATCAGGTACGACGATTTCTGGCCTCGAACTAAACTTGGAATCCGACCTATACTGACTTGATCGTCGGAGTGCTCACCTTTTTGTGCAGGTCCGCCCAAGTGTTCAGGTCGGTCCGGAAGCCGAGTTCGAGCTACAATCGGGAACACACTGTTGTGCATATCCTTGCATAAACAAGGAGAGTTATTGTGTTATTTTCTCAAGGAATTGCAACAAAATTAAATCCCTTTTAGTTATTTTGTACCACACTTAGCAATAATCCTCAGTTAACCTATAACAGTGTCTCTCCATAATTTGAGCCTTAGCACTTAGAGTTTCATTCAAAATGTCTTCTATCAATAGAGATGCATGTTGCTATTCTTACTTATATATTAAGGATGTTTCTCTATGTTAACCATTATGAGATCGTGTCCACATGTCCAACAAGATGCCTAAAAGAAAATCTATAAAAGTTTTAGTCTAAATTGAACAATATCATACTTGAGGAGAGTTAAACTAAATTGAATGATTGTTTAAACTTTATTTTGGTTGTTGAACCTTCATATTTATCCAATTTGGGTTCCTTTGTTTTCAATTATTCTTTTTTTTTTCATCCGTAAGATTTCATAAATAATTTGTTTAGGTTTTTGTCGTGAAGTTGTCTATCGTGTGAAAAAACGTGTAATAGAAAACTTTAGGTCACTCATTTCTAAATTTGATATCAAAATCACTATATGGTTTTAGGACACAACTTGACATGGTATTTGTACTTTTTTTTTTGGTTAAATACCACATAAAATTTAATGACAAAAGATGTACAATCGAAACTTTTTTTTTCAATATTTTAGATACTAAAATATAATAAGAAAATTCTAAAAAAAAATGTAAAGCATACAAATTTAGAGATCAAAATAGAAATTAAGTCATATATCAATTATATCTTGCATTTTGAAAAATTACAATAGTTTTCATATTTTTTTTAAGGCTTTTAACTATAGTTTTAGACTTTTACTATTTCTTAAAAAAAAATAGTGGAGAAAAATCAGAAATATTTTTCATCAGGTCAAGAGTTTATCTCTTTCTTCAATTTTTAAGAATAAAAAATAGGAATTAGTACCTTGATAAGTCTTTTAGTGATTGTAATTTCATAAAGAGATTCATTCTAAATTTTGACGTGTTTATGCTATTTTAGTGCAAGAACTTTTAAATATTTTTATTTTAGTTCTGAATTTTACGTAGAATGTCATTTTTAATCTTTATCTTTAATTTTGTATTTTTATAAACTATTTAGTAAAAATAAAAATTTGATAAATACCTCTTTTTTTAATCCATTCACTCTTATGAATAGATATCTGCATTGACCAGCATTTAAATTCATGTTAGAACTCTTGAATATCCTTTTCAAACAAGTGCATGAGGGAAAACATGAGATAAAAGTTAAAGAGATTTTTGTAAAGGAAGATAAAATATTTGAATAATATTAGAGAATTTTTGTGTTAACTTGCACGTGGGATGTATATTAGAATATACTTTTATATTCTAAAACTTAATTTGATAACGATTTTATTATTATTTTTAAGCCACTTTTGGAGGTCAATATAAAATACAAAACATAGGTTTTTAAAATTATTTTTCTCAATTTAGAAAATAATCTTAATTTAATTATGTTATTCGTTTTAATTCTATACACGAATATTATTTTTATTTTAATAAAACAATGGAATAAATAAACTTCCAACTATCATTATTAGGAGACGTTTAGAATTTTAAAATTATATAAAATATATGTGAAAATTATTTTCAACTATACAACCTTTTAATATATTAAAAATTTATCGCTGTGGGAGTGTATTTAACAAAAACACTTTATTAAAATATGTTTAATAACAAATTACTTTTTTTTAATAACATTGCTTTAATGTTTAGTTTTACCTTTGTTTGATCAGTAAACTGACCAAGATAGTGAACTTCGGCTTGAATGAAAGATGACTTGGAAGACGAGCTAGAAGTGTGTCGAACGGGAGACTTGCAAAAAAGAAAACATTAYGATGTCTAAGTTAGTAGATGGCCGAACTATATCCAAGAGAGAATATAAATTCGCATATGTGGAAATGAGGCAGGATGTTCCTATTTATAGGCRGAGCTTCTGACAAGGTCTCCGACAAAGCTCTAACAACTCTTTAAGGTAACCAGGAATGACTGCGTGTTGTCGTGGGATGTATCAGAAAGCGAGTCTTGACGGAGAATCCGTAGATCAGTTCAACCAATGAATGAGGTCGTTGACAAGAGGAAGATGAGGTCGACTCAATCCTGATGTCAGTTTGGCTCGGATTGGCATTCGAAATTCAAGGTGATGAATCTTGGCATTATTGATTCAGAGCCACATGTCATTCTTATCGTATCATAACATGCCAAGTGTTAGGTGAGAATTCACCTACAACATTGGCCACCACCTTTGCTGAGTTACCTCGTTAGCTCAGCAAAGAGATGTGTTTTGGTAATGTCCTAATCTGAGGTGATTGCTGCGAAGAACAGCAAAAGATAGAACGTTAAGTTGATGTGTGTTGACGTCACTACTCTGTCGTTTGGCTGGATTGCATCTGGACCGTTGATTTTAAATTTAACGTACGATTGGGATGAACCTCACGCATGCTATAAATAGAGGAGCTCCTTTAGTACTTTTCTTCACTTGCAAACTCCAAAATTCTCTCAAATTTTCTTCTGTTGTCGAGGTGATTGCTGCTCAGCAATTATTCTAGATCAGTTCTTCCCTCTCTCTTCTTTTGTTTGAACCTAACCCAAAGCCTTCACCCGATGTAGAGTCTTTACCTGACCTAGAGCCTTTGCCTTCTATCTGTACCGAATCTCACCTTAGGGAACTTCGCGAGTTGTATAGGATTCCAGAAAACATTATCCTTAAACTTCCTTAGGTTGGAGAACATTTGGACAACCCCCAATCGGGTTGGTAGGTTTCTACCCCTAGATGTTTAAGTATGACGTCCAATTTCCTCTACACCCTTTCGTGCAAAAATTCCTTTCTGCCATGAAATTCGCCCCAACTCATCTCGCTCCCAACGGGTGCGCTGCTCTGCTTTTTGTGTGGTACACTTGTTGGGGTTTCAGTGCCGGAGATGATGAGCTTCTTTTAGACGTAGGTCAGCTCCTTGCCACACAAATAGTAAAGCCATATAACGAGTTCCCGGGTTGGTACTATATATTGGCTCGGAACCAGTTCTGTAAAATAGTCCACACTCCCTCAGCCAACAAACGCTAAAGGGATAGATGGTTCCTCGTCTTGGGGGACCGGCTCGCTATTAAGGATTGAGAGCCAAACTGCTAAGTCCCTACTGAGTTTGGAGAAGTAGGTGAGCTTCGCTATAGGTCCTCACCTTGTTTTAAGATAGGATCAGCTACTTTATCTTCTAGTCGAGCTGACTAGTTGCTTCTTTTGTCTGCAGCTCTCCCAAGGCCAGCTCCCCGACAGCGAATACTCGTGGGGGGTGCACGACCTAGTGATAGACCTCGACAAGATTTGGTTCGAAGGGGTGCTTGACGATGTGAACCTCCATCAATGTAGTCTAAAATTGTTTTCCTCGCTCAACAAGAAATGCCATGCTGAGGTGCCCACTCTTGGTGAGGCAACTTCAAAGCATGGAAAATCCGTAAGTGTGCATAACTCGGCCTCTTGTGGCTTGGAAGGTTCATCTCATCCTTTTCAAGCCAACCCACTACAGACTATACTAGCCATTCACTCCTCTTCCTAAAGGAAGGGTCAGTCCTCTTCCAACCACTAGGGGAAGAGGTCGGATGAGGCGTCATCTCGATCTCTCCTCGAGCCCATCAATATTTCGTCAGAGGATGGGATACGACCAACTRTCATTCCCAAGATGGACTTCAGTTACTCATTCAAGCTCAACTTCATGGAGGAATCAATACGTGATGCAGCTCTCAAGGCTTACAAGAATAGCTCGGAATGGGTGCTGAGTTTGAACGAAGGGGCCTTCCTGGAAAAACTTGGTGACTATGTTCAAAGCCTCATTGACCAACTAGCTCAACTACATTTCTCAGCTTGCCACACTGGGGCCGTCATTAGCCCATAGCCGATTGCGCTGAAGGTTAGCTTCACACTCGAGTGTGAGGCTACAAGAACGATCTAGGAGCTAAAGGCTGAGCTGGAGAAGGTTCACGCCGAGAATGATGAACTCCATAAATCAACTTCTTCACTCGAGAACCTCTTAAACCAGGCTCGGCTTGACGTGAGGGCAACTGAGACGAGAGCTAAGTGTTGAGTTTTATGTCCTAAGCTCATGTATTTGTATTTAATGAACAATTTATTTATTCAATAAATAGTTATTTTTTAGTTCTTTGCATTACTTGTATTCAAATAAAACTAAGATCCAAGGGTATTTAATGTAACTGGAATATGTATATTTGATATACAGTATATAATTAATATACCCGATATAAACTATATATTGTTGATATACAGGGAGATAATATTCTAGTAATAACCTAAATGGTCTATAGTACATGGATAAAGTTAGGTGTCTTATCTTGGTAACACTATGGATACGACTTGCTTTTTAATAGTTACAAACGACTTTATCTAGGTCGTTCATGTGGCGGTATCTTATACAATGAGTTTTTATATGACCGGACTGYGAAATATAATTAATCTTTAGTTATAACACCGTAAACTAATTAGATTAATATTTCATAGTGACCATGTAACTCGGTCTTAATCCTGAGCGAGTTATGGCCTGCCTATTAAGGATTGTCTTTTGATTTGTATGGGTGAGAGTCGTCCGTGTTGCCGACTTAATAATCCTACCATCTTGGGGAYGAAACCGAATAGGGAGCTGGGAACATAACTACGCGARATAGAATTCACTCCTTTTTTATCAATCAAACCTCTTCCCAAACTATACAAGCTTCTTTCAAAGCATACAACTTTTTGGATTTAGATGATGATATCTATACATATGGATCTTATATATATAGTACAATGAAGTACCACATGAGTGGATATATAGGAATCCAAATCTACTGAATCACTCATGTTATGATCTTCTACATCCTAGGTCTTCCCGTTCCTTCATCTAGCTTATGTTCTTCATGTAGCATTCAGACCGAATGACTCTATGAAATTACGTCGATACTTCCACATATTACGGGTAACGTAGAAGACATCTCTATTTTCCCTCTCAAGAATTCTTCGAATTACCCCCTTCCTGATTCTAGGGGAAGTAGATGAGTGTTTCCCTTAAGTGCTGACTCTGGGACTTGAACAAGGGGCCCCACCCTCTCGCTGGCCCAAAAGAGACTTATGTTTATTGGTCGGACCATTAACAGGTTGTTCATTAGAGAATGAGTGGTACTTAAGGTGCAAGATGTAACTCAAAGGTTAAATGGTAATTTGACCCAACTGCAGTTACGATACGAACACTCGCAAATGATCGACTTACTGTTAATGGTTATATCCAATGACGCAACGTGTTTTGCAGCGCATAATAGTGCAACTATAGGTCTTTAGTGGAATGACCTATAGTTAATGAATGTTGATTAAATTAATTAATAAKGTTTAACTATTTAATCTCGGATCATTCGAGCTTATAGCCTGCAGATCCATTAGTTCCCATTGCTAGCTCATAACGGGTAAAACGAGGAGAATTTAGAAGAATTTGAATTGTTCAAATTAATTAAGGGAATGTACATTAGTTGTATCATATACAATTAAACTATAATTTATATGGATACATTATATTATAAATAAGAGATATTTCTTGAATAATATTCAATTAAAAATTAATATGAATTAGATTCGTATTTAAACTATATGTTAAAATTAATGTTAATATGATTCACATTAAAACTGTATGAGATAAGCTCTTGAAMATGATTTATTAAATATATGATATTTAATGAAATTAAATATTATTTAATTAATTAATTAGTTTAATTAATTAATATTTAAACCATTATCATCATGGGATGACTCAAGTGGTCAATGRGGGACCATATAAATAACAAGAGGAAATGAATTCAAATCTTGGTGACCACCTAATTTTCKTTTTGAATTAACAGAATCGTTTGGTGGGTTCTCTGCATTTTGAATGTATGAGTTTTTGCATATAGGATGTTTCCGAATTGTGGTATTTAGAATTGCGTTTTTATGATTCGATAATTGTAAGGGCACGTTGTTTTTGGCATTAGTGGAATATCAAGAAAGACAGAGAAACAGGGGAAGTCAAATCAGATTCTTCAAGATATCTCCAATCTTGATGTTAAAGCGAAGTGTTTTGGCCTTTCTGACGAGGATAAGGAATTAAGGYTCTCTCTTCAGAAGGATTTGCTTAATGTTTATATCAAGGAAGAGCGAATTTTGATTCAAAGGTGTAAACTTCAATGGCTGAAGGAAGGTGACGAGAACTCCAAGTTTTTTCATCGTTGTTTAGCTGCCTGTAAAAGGAAAACATGATTACTTAGTTGACAGACAGCAATGGCCTTCCTCTCTTGAACTAGAACCAGATTGAGGCCGAAATTGTTGGTTTTTTCGAACAATTATTTACTCGAACTCCTACCCAACTTTTTTCTATCAAAGGCATAAATTGGCGCCCTATTTCTGTGAAAAATAGCTCATGGCTGGCGAGACGTTTTGATGAGGATGAAATACGGTCCGCCTTAAAAGCTCTCGGTAAGAATAAAGCTCTCGGTCCTAATGGGTATACTTCGAAATTTTTCATCCGTTTTTAGGCTCTGAAGCAAGATTTTATCCGATTCTTTGATGAATTCGATAGGAATGGCCATTTAAATTCTTGTTTGAAAGAAAAATTCATTTGCATTCTCCCCAAAAAAAAAAAAAGAAGAAGATGCTGCAAGAATTAAGGATTTTAGACCAATCAGTCTATCTACATCCATTTATAAGATCCTTACCAAGGTACTCTCTGAAAGGCTTAAGAAGGTGATATCGTCTACAGTTTCTTTTAATCAAAGTGCCTTCAGGAAGAAAAATCTTAGACCCTATTTTGATCGCTAACGAAGCAGTGTAGGACTATCATGCAAGAAAGAAGAGTGGTTGGCTGTTGAAGCTTCACTTTGAAAAGGCCTTTGACAAAGTTAATTGGAGATTCCTTGCAAACGTTGTTAATAAAAAACAGTTTGCGAAGAAATGGGGTAGCTGGATTAAAGCTGTGCGAGGGGTACTAAATAATCCATATTCATCAATGGGCGGCCTAAAGGGAGAATTCTCGCTTCTCGAGGTTTAAGGCAAGGAGACCCTCTTTCTCCTTTTATTTTTCTTCTTGTTAACGATGTTTTCAGCCGCCTTTTAGACAGCATTTATTCTAATGGCTCTTTTGAAGGTTTCTTGGTTGGTAGATAACATTTTCACCTTTCTCATCTCCAATTTGCTGACGATACTTTGGTGTTTTGTAAGGATGACGATGTTATGCTTCTCAACTTGATAAGAACCATTAAAGAATTTGAATGGCTATCGGGCTTAGCAGTAAATTGGGACGAATCAACATTGTGCGGTGTGAATATTCCAGCTTCTCGCCCTCCACCAGGTAGCGTCTTCCTTAAATTGTAAGGCTGCATCTTTTCCTCTATTGTACTTGGGTTTGCCACTAGGTGGTAATCCTAGGAGTACTGGCTTTCGGCGTCCGGTTATTGAAAAGGTGGCTAAAAAGTTGGATCGTTGGAAGCGTATAATCTTTCTCGAGGCGGTCGTTTGACTTTGTTTAACTCTGTTTTGGCTAATTTACCTATGTACAATAGGTCATTATTTCAAATGCCTCCAGTAATTTGCAAGCAAATCAAGAAAGCCATGAGGGATTTCTTTTGGGAAGGCAATTCCAAAGGACCGTTGAAGCATTTAATTAATTGGAAGATTACTTCCATGAACATTGAAGATGGCGGGTTGGGTATTGGTGGTCTTATGAGACGTAATAACTCTCTCCTTGCTAAATAGGGCTGGCAGTTTGGTAATGATCCTCTTTCTCTTTGGAGGAAGGTAGTGGAGAGTATCCACGGTTCAGATTCTCCTGCCTGGTTCACCTCTCCTAGTTTGCCCATTTGCAAGCGCTGACCATGGATCAACATTTATAAACAGTGGCGTAAGGTTGAATCTTTCGTCTCATTCAGACTTGGTTGTGATAGCAAAGTTCTATTTTGGCACTCCCTTTGGGTTACCAATAATCCACTAAATGTTAGGTTTCCTAATATCTTTAAACTCTCTCCTCTCCCCCTCGACAAAGTATCATATTTTTGGGATCAAAATACATGGTCATGGCAGATTGGGTCAAGAAGATCCTTGAAAGATGTTGAGTTAGTGGAATATACTAATCTACTTGCTATATTAAGCATGCTTTCGGTTAGTGCTGAGGCTAACCAAAGAATTTGGTCCCTGGAAACTTCTGGTCTGTTCTCTGTTTCATCCTTAAGCATATTGCAAAATGTTGCTCCAATGCATAAAGATCTGTTTGTTGCTTTATGGAAATCAAAGAGTCCAAGAAAGGTGAATGTGTTTTCTTGGATTCTTCTTCATGGGAAGCTTAATACTGCAGAAGTTATTCAGAAAAAGCTCTCTTCTTCTGCTTTACTACCGTCTATTTGTGTCCTTTGTAAAGAAAATGGGGAAGATTTGAATCATCTTTTTTCCATTGCTCCTTTGCTGTTGCTGGGTGGTTTTCTTAATTTTCTCAATTTTGTGTTGATTGGGTTTTGGATTACAAGGCAGAAGCCAATTTGATCCAATTGTTATGTGGATTTCATCATCCTTATTCCATGGCACGGGTTTTGCGGATTAATGCTGTGAAAAGTTTTCTTTCTGAGTTATAGTTCGAGAGGAATTTGAGGATCTTCGAAAGAAAACATAAATCCGTGCTTGAATGTCTTAGCTCTGCTAAGTTCAAGGCTTCTTATCGCTGTTCTCTTGTTGATTTATTTCTAACTATTCTTCTGTTCTTATTTTCAATAATTGGGGCGCTTTTATTAGTCCATTGTAGTTCCTTATGTTTTACTTTATACTTTTCTTTTCACTCTTTTGAGAGTTTGAGAGTTTGTATATTTGAACATTTGATTCCTTTTCATATCTTCAATGAAAAGTTTAGTATCTTGAAAAATTAGGGAGAGAGAAAGCTGGAAATTCTCTTTAGGTGGTTTTTTGGGCAGCATATCAGAACTATAACCACCACTACCAATAGATTTTCCTGAGACTTACAAATTTCAAAGGATGTGAGTTTGTGTCTATAAGTTTACGGGTTCCGCTTGGTTGCAAGCTGTAAACAACCCTCTGGTGAAAATAAATAAACAAATAAAATTCGACCCGAGCCGACCCGACATCAAACCGAGCCGAGCCAACTTGAGATCAGGTCATAAAACCATACACCCCTAAAGAATATCAATACTGAGTCTGAACAGATTTCGAATTCCACAATTGATTTAAATTTGAGTTACAATTTGGTGATATTAAACTTTAAAATTAAATTTCACCCACTTAAGTAAAATTGTTAAAAATAATAATAATAAATAATCTATTAAACTTATCTCTTAGTGAGCTTACATATAGAAATTTGGGAAGCAATATAGTTGCAATCATATATAGTTTTGAGCTTCACTAGAGGAGATTGATTATACCTATTTGAAAGATTTTTAGTATTGTATCTGTAAGATTTCAGCTTCTATATCTTCAATTGTATGTAGTTAGAATGGCAACACAAAATTTACAACAAAAAGAAGTAAAAAAAGAAAACTTGCAAAATATATACATACACACAATCATCTTCATTCCTCTTTGGGAATCCATCTACTCCACCACAAGCTCTTGCTTCGTCGGCTTAGCTCGTCCATGCTCTCGTTTAATGTTCTTAAGATTTTCCGCTGCAGCTTAAGAACTGAAGCGAGAACATTTCTTTCAGCACTTGCTTTCTTCTTTGGTTCCATTTCCTGCAAGTTCAAAACAAAGACAACATTCAAAATCCAGCTTGCACGATAACTCAAAGAAAGAACTGAGCTTTTCAAAACATTGTTCATAAACAGACTTTGAGCTCCAGAAGCTGAGCTTCAGTGAAGCCACCATCCTGTTCAGTTCCTGATTTTGCCATTAGCTGAATGACCCAATTAGCAGCTTCAGTGTAGTCCTGTTGTGTAGTTCTGAAGACTTGCAGCCTCAGTTTCTGCATGAAGGACAGAGCCAATAAACCTTCCCTGTCAAAGTACGGGTGAGCTAAAGCTGCTTTCGCGCTCGTTCTTTGCCGTGCTTTGTATCGGACCATTGATGTCAGGAGTTCCCATCCTATTCCTTCATCCAAATCCAACAATTCAAAGCCCTTCCTTAGGTCAGAGCTGGCACGAGGCTCTACACTGTTCCTCCATGCAACTAAGTCATAGTCACACCTCTTTAACTGACGGTTGAATTGTATGAGGCCGCTATCTGACCGTAATGCTGGAAATGCCTGTAGAAGAAACCAAATTTCATGTTACTGTTAACCAATATGCGTCAATTAGAAGGTGAAACATGACCTCTTCATTAGAAACCTTACAGCATTACATACATTTGTTGATATTCTATATTCCCAATTTTTTCTTCCAGAACTACCAAGTGTTAGGTCCTAACTCAAATGGTTTTTGACACGAGCTATAACTACCCCAACCAAGTACCTACAAAGACTCGAATACATGATCCCAAAAGAAGCTAATTTGTTCTATTTTTTCAAACTTGTTACCAATTTTATTGAAGAGTTGTTACCAATTTTATTGAAGAGTTATTGACAATCCGCATATACTTTATACATTTCGAAATGTCTATAAGAACTTCTCAAAGACAAACAGTAGCATCTACTAGACCTAAATACTACCTGAAGATCTCATTGTCAAGAGGTACCCTGCATCTCTTATCAGGAACAGCGAATGATGATGTTACCACAATGAGTTAACTAAGGTCTATGCCCGATTATCAAACAAAAATAATACTTTTTTACTAGCATCTAACTTTCTCGAAATATCCAAATATTGTCAAGAAATTAAGTAGGTCAACTTACAAATTTAGTCCTTCAACATACGGTCACGTTTATTTACTCCCTACATTTAAAAAGTTCTTATTACGTCTCTAAACTTTCAATTTTGATATTAACAAGTTCATGTTGTTAACACCGTACTTATGTTGATGTAACATGCTACTTAGACCTACGAGTAATATTTGGTACAATGGGCCAAAAAGAGTAGGCCAACTAGATAAAATAAGGACAAACGGGCCAAAAACTTTGATGAGGCAAGTAGGCATAACCCATTTTAAAATCAAATTTTTTTGGTCCACCTACTTTTATTTTATCTAAGTGGCCTACTTTCTTGTGTCGTGTTATGCTTTATCATCACTCATCAATCCAATCAACATTAAAAAAACTATGTTAATTACAAAGACCTAGAATCAAAATCAAAATCAAAAGTTTAGTAACATGATTGAAATTTAAAATTAAAATTTTTAAGGAGTAAATAAACACAATCAATTGCAATGAGCATATTAATGAAACTAGTGGAATAATTACCATCTGTAAGAAGATGAGACCGGTACTGTAGATATCGAATCTATCTGGGAGGTTCATCTGTTAAGCACATGATATATCATCAAAGTCAAAGACCATAAATGAAGCTTAGAAATTTTGGCATTGCCATATGGACGTTTTACAATGCTGCACCTGCCATAGGACTGGGGAAAGTGCAGTTGCCACGGGCGCTGAGGGAGCAGATGGAGTCTGTGTGCTCATGATGTATTGCTCTGGGGCAGCATATCTTCAATGGAAAAACCACAAGTCTTTGAAACAAACTTAATATAAAAAAGCATGATTGTAGTTTTGAACCAAAGCTGCCAAAAATCGAGTAATAAGTAATTTATGAATTAGCCACCGTCCCAGCCTCATTCATCCTTGATTCCTTGTTTCTAGAAAGAAATAAGCATTCCTTCAAAATTGATCATGTGCATCACCAGTAATATAGATAGAAAAGTAGAAGGATGATTAATATGTTTCCTTCTGCAGGTTTCTTATCAAAAATATATATACATATGTATGTTTCCTTCTGCCATTCCAAACTCAAGCACTAAACCTAGGAGCGGAAACGATCACCTCCCATAAATTAGAAGAATCAGTCATTCCAAAGCTTCATTGACTTGCCCTGGCATGTTAGGGAGTAATGCCAAAATCACTTTTGCGGTTTTTTAAGATCATTCGTATTATTGTCAAATATTACTATTTTTTTTTTAATAAGAAACACTTCATTAGAAGGAACAAAAGAACAAGAACAGCCTAAGGATAGGGGCCAAGTCAGCTCCTTCCAAAAAGAAAACTATTGTTAGGTAACCGAACACACCCAACGAACCAAAATAACTATATTGCAAATCCAAAGGGAAATTACAAGAATCGATAGCCTTTCGAGAGGGCTATCTCTCTCCCAAGAACTCTCCCAAGTTCCTTACACAAAACTATTCTCCAAGATACCTTCCTTTTCCCCTACAACCTTTATTTATAACCAACTTACCCCTAACTAATTACTGTATTACCCCTAACCCATATACTAATATCATTCCTTAACTAACCCTAATAGGACTCTCACAGCTAATCACAAAAAGGCTCTCCAATTTTGTAAAATCAAAGAGAGCCTGTAATTACAAAAGAATTTCGTATTTCTTATGCACCACCGAGAAGCCAAAACCTGCACACTATTACAAAAAGAATCTCAAAACTTAGCTTTGTCTTCAAAGGGCAAGAGTTCCTTTCCATCCAAACGTTCCAAAGAAAAGCTCTGAACGCACATCTCCACAAAACTCTAGCCTTTCTATTGAAGTGCCATCCGTGAAAACATTCTAACAACCAGCTCTCCACGTCTTTAGGCATACATAATTGAATGTCAAAACATTGAAACAGAAACTGCCATCCTTTTAAGGCAAAGGGGCAGTGAAGGAACAAATGATCCAAGGACTCTGCCCCTTTCCAGCAAAAACAACATACCGACGGAGACAAAGACCAATTCGGCCATTTTCTTTGGAGTTTCTCATGGGTGTTCAATGCTTGATGAGCCAAGGACCATAAGAAAACCTTTACTTTTTTTGGGATAGAGTCATTCCAAATGAAAGTCATCAAAGGAGACTTTGATTTGGGAGGAGTTTCCCTTAATTTCATATAGGCTGATCTCGTAGTGAAGTGACCATTCTGTTCCAACGGCCAAACAGCAGCATCTGACTCTTCTTCTAACATGAACACCTACAGGCGTTGAACCATTCTCATCCAACTTTCCAATTCTCTATCAAATAAGCCTCTTCTGAAACCTAGATCCCATGTTTTTTGCACATTACACCAACAATCTGCCACCACAGCTTCTTTTTTTAAGGGAAATGGCATACAACTCTGGGAAATCTGCTGCTAAAGTTGACTCTCCATTCCATTTATCAAGCCAAAATCTGATTCTACTACCTTTCCCTAATTTGAAGGCCAGCTGATTAATAAAGAAGGAAGAAGTCTTAGCAATGTCAAACCAAGGTCTACCACTTGATTTACCTTTAGGATCTTTAGGCAGCCACCCATGAGGATTAACTCCATAAATACTAGAAATGACCTTCCTCCACAACGCTTCACTTTCTTGAGAGAATCGCCACAACCATTTCATCAGCAAAGTCATGTTCTTCTGGAGGAAACCACCAAAGCCAAGACCTCCCAAGCTTAAAGGCAAGGAAGAAATATCCCACCAAAGTGATTTTGGCAATGGCAAAAGTGATTGTGGTCATGCCAAAATCACTCCTAAACATGCCATAATCTTTGACAATGATATACAAGTGATTTAAGAAAATGGCAATAGTCAAAATCATTCACAAACATGCCCTTCAAATCCTTTCAAAATCACTCATTCTTCTTCATGTTAAATAATAGGCAATGCAAACAGGCCAATGGAGCATAGTGGCAAAAAATGGCCATTTAAATTTACTTGAAGTTTTTGCCTGGTCGTAATCAAGGTGTTATTCTACTGGTCCATGACTGCAATTAAATAGTATTATCCAAAAAGAACCACCAACTAGCAAATCCTCATATTGAGCACAATGGATCAAAATCATAACCTAAAACTCAGTTAATCCTCCCTCCTCTGCATGTAAATGCTAATTCTAGATGGGATGATCATAATACCGGGGAATGTTTGGTGTTGAAGAAGGATGTTCCAGCCAGGTCTATTCCCAATATTGGAATTAGAATTACAATGGAATTGGAGTGTTGAAGCGGTTGGAAAGTTGTCTCATATTGAGTTAATGAGCAACAAAATATTAAAATTATTCACCACCTTATAACTTAGCAAAGAGAAATGAAGCGAGTTGTTTGTTCAGTTTGGATACATCGTCATTCCACCTACAATGCGCATACCCACTCCCGTGTTTCATGGATGAGTGGGAGATCAACTGAGGAATGGGATATTCACACACATTATGAAAGGCGTCATTTTCAAAAAAGTTCAGTGTGGAGTCCCCTACAAGTCTGATAGACTCCATAAACCATAAGGTGTATGCGCAGAGGAATAAAGGGAACATGGGACCTACTGATTGTACTAGTTTGGGTCCCATGGAGTATTTTAGTTAGTTGTTAAGCATCGGTTTTGGGAACAGGGTGATATATGAGTCAGGTTGCTGAGAGCATTAGGTAGTCTTTTGGCTTTTCTTGGTAAAGTATTGAGAGAGATGCAGCTCTCTAATCTCCCTTGGCTTGTAACTAATTTCCATTCAATAGACCAGTACCCATCAAATTCCTAAAAACTTTCTTGGTTCCAAATCTACACATTCCTGGTTTCAGTGGGGCAACATCATTACTCGATGATCTTGAAGTTTGATTAGCTTTCTGTACAAGTCTATCAATAGGAACCAAATCCATCTTCTATTAAATAAAGAAAAGATTGCAAAATGAGAAAGAACTCACAGCCTTCCCCTACTCTAACAATAGATAATGCTACATAATTAGAGAGGATATACCTTGGGTCCAATAGAAACTCCTTCGGAATATAGTTAATACCAACTCGCAAATCAGCTGCAGCTCCAAGATCAATAATTTTGAAAGTGCGAGATCCTGCTCAGTTTTAAAATGAGATGAGAAAATTTTTAATCACACAAATTTGTATTTAACCCATATTTATTTACATTTGCTGGTTTAACCTTCAGAGAAAATGATATTTTGTGGCTTGATATCCCTATGCACAATCCCGGTCGAGTGAAGACTATCCAATGCAAATAAGAGCTGTCTCATTATCGTCTGAATGATTCTATTCTCCCTTTCAAATCCTTTAGGCAACTGCTGGCCCTCGCCGAGAATCATCCTCTCTACCTGACTTTCAAAGCCATCACTTAGCTATCTATTTGGTAAGCTTAAAAGTCATAATAGTAAATCCTCACCAAACTAATTCATTATTCAATTCATTAGTACTTATAGAGAGATACTGACCTCTCAAATATAATGTGAAAGTAATTTCAAGTATTTTCTTCCATGCCTCTCAATAAAACATTTGTTCCACTAAAAAAATGCAACAAAAATTCATATATTCTCTTAATAATTAATTCCATCAGCATTCTGAGAAAATGATGACTGATAAGAAAAAGTACCAACATTATAGGGAAACTCTTTGCTTTGCATTAAATCTGCCAATGTAGATTCCCCTTCAAACTTCCATATGAGCCAATATTCGCCACCTCCTTTCTTTGAAGAATTCTGGTAGTGAATTCAACATTATGGTCAAAACAACTGAATGACTCCAAATAATATAATAGTTTTTTTATTAATAAAAGAATATATATAATATTTTTTTTAGGTAATAGCAAGTTTTCAAAGTCGTGGGATGCATTTTATAACTACTTCATCTTCTGGTTCCCTTTTCTTGCAAACGTTAATATGTTATTGAAACGGTAGCCAAATTTACAAACAGAAATAGATTTTTAATGACTACCTTTTTTTTAGCTTTTCACATCCAGTAAAATATCTTGAAATGTAGGAATTAGGAAACATAAAAAGGAAATGGTCAGTAATAAATTAACTAATTTTAAAAATAACAATTAACATAAACCCAGAATAATTATGAAACGGGCAATTGGTAAAATTATGTCCTAAGTTTTAAGGGTACCAATAGCCAAATAGAGCAACACCTCAAGGAAGCCATACACGAAGTCTGCACAGCTGTTAGCACAAGCTCGTCGCACTCGCTCATTCATCCAAATTTCAACTGCACCATACTCCGTAGCCTTTTTCAAGACGAGGTCACCTTCCTTCTGGTAAAAACAAAAAATGACATTTTAACACATGTATACATATTCATTGTACATCTAATAGCTAAAGCTATAGCCTCCTTTTTATTGTTAAGAGTAAATTTTCCTCAAATAGGACTAAAGTCTAAAATGACCAATTATTGTGATGACGATCATTAAACAAATTAAAATAACTTAAAGTAAATATGGCATGACTTTCGGAAGGGTGATGAAGCACCTTTCAAAATTTTCATGGAGTTATTATGTTGTTTTGACATATAATTATAATGTTACATAATTGCTGGCTTGCATTCAGATCATTATATTAGCCCCTAATTTTGCTAGTTTTTTTTTTAAATAATTTTAATTATTTTGAGTATTTTTACCTTCCATAAAAGATATTTAGAAAAATCAGAAGCAGAACAAATGAGAAAGAAATAAAAAATATATACATACAAGAAGCCATAATTTATTCAAGGTAATCAGTGACCCATTTTAAATACATCTCTTTTCTCCATTTAGAGATAGGAAATCAATACTAGAAACAGTTGAGGTAAATTAGAGTTTTTTCCCAACAATTCATTAAGAATAATAATTGAAAATTAATTAATACGATTTTATAAAAATAAATTTGGTGGAATTGGCTCTAAAAAACTTTTATTGCTTCAATCTTGTTTTGACATTTTAGCTTTAAGTTCTAATACATTCATTAAATTATTTACCTAAATAAAGTTATAGTCAATCAGCTACAATACTTATTAGGATTTCCACCACAATCCTAAGGATGACAACCTTTTTCTCACTACTATATATATATAATTATATATTTTATTTTCATTTCGATATCCTTGAATGTCCTGGCCAGGCCAACTTGCACGCACTAACGGCCTCATCCTGTTACATATAGTTGCCAGAATAACTCGTAGGATATTAAATCCCAAGGAGGTGGCCACCATAGTTTTCTCTCCCACTAACTTAACAGTCAGCTTATAGAAAAAGGACGAAAAAAGTCTTAACTCAAAAATGATAATAATGATCAATTTAAATGAGATGCTCACAGAACAATCCATTATAAGAACAAAATAAACTCCAAAGGAGCATGGAGGATTCTGGGAAGAACCAACCGAGTGTACCTTCTCTGAAGGATTTTTAGACAGTGACACTCTGTAGACCACACCAAAAGCTCCTTCTCCCAACTTCTTGCCCAAAACAAAATCATCCTGCCCAGTAGAAAATTTGATTTCCAATCTGTTTGTTTCCCATTTTAATGACTAAAATTTGTGATATACATAAACTAGTAGCGATTTGCAAACCTTTTTGAAAGAGGGTCTGAAAATCCTCTCGAGGAAAGCAAGAATAAACATGTCAAAGAAGCCAGGAGCCACTCCGGGAGTGGCCCAGAGATAAGAAAGAGTACCCAAAGCAAGAACGGCACCAGGGATTGTGAGGGTCAGCCCATTGGACTTTGGGAGAGTGCTTCTGTATATGATATCGCCGCACTCCATCACCGTACAGGGAAGCCCCACTCCCACCCCCACAAACACATTGTGAACCGCATCGATCAGCTCCCCGCCCAGAGCCGAAACCACTGCCCTCCTCGGATTCTGGACGGATATTCTCCAAAACGAGGCCAATTCGGAGGGCGATTTCGGCTTCAGTTTGAGCAGCTTGTTGCCGAGAAATGGAGAACAGGGTTTGGAGTGGCGGGGGTGGAGCTTGGTGACTCCAATGCTGACCCCTCCACCTGCGGAAGCGACGCCGGCCATGGATGCGATTCGTCGAGGTGAACGCCCCAGTAGAAGCTTGAACAGAGCATCGAATCTCGACCACCAGAATTTGAATTTGTAAATTTCATTTTTGGGATTTTGTGGGACTGTTGTTTTTTGTGTGGAGGCGAATTGCTGGTGGGTTGGATTGGAGTTTGGAGGAGTGATGATCACCACAGGTGACACGCAGACTTGCGTGTGTGGAATTATGGGCTTGTTTTTTTCGTCGCTTTGGGATTCAAATTTGGAATTGGATATGAAGGCTTGTGTCGTCTTGTAGAGCCATACGCTTGGCTTTGGGTTTCTTGTAGAGGTATCTCTCTTGTTGCTGTGACAAATAAATGTCTTTCAGGTTTGTTTGAAGGGTCAAAAGTCACTGTTTAGCCGGGAAGTTTGAATTTAGTTTTTAATTAGTCAATAAATTTTGAATTTGATTTCTAATTTGACTCGTGGATTGAACTAACCATTAATTGATCGAATGGAATGATGACTTACAAGCAAACATATGTTGATTAAACTTTGTTAATGTGTATTTTTTATAAGTTGACAAATTTGAGTATTCTTCCATCTAAATAGCTCTTTTTCTCATTCAAATGGACTATGTCTTGATTTACGATGCATTATGCATTTTTTTTTTCATGGTCACAATTTCAATCATTTTAATCCTAAGTTTGCCATCCAAAAAACAACTATAGAGAAAAAAATAGCAATTAAACTCTTCTTTAGACTGTGATAATATGAACTAGTTAAAAGATCACCCTTGTGGCAATCATGCAATTGGTTTTTGTGAAACATGCTCCAAGAGAACATTAGAAACAACTTGACTTATTGACTAATCAATCACTATTGCAATATTCTCCCTAGCAGTGAACTCTTTAAATGCATCTTTAATTTGTTTAAGAGTTGTCTTTCAGACATTAGTATGATAATCCATGAGAACATTTCAAACCCACTTTATTTACAAAATTAAGATTCAATCTTAACCCGCCATCCGTTCAAAATTAAGTTTATCGCTTCAACATTTAGTAAAGTTGCGCGAAACACATATATTTTGGTACTCGTAGGTATGTTTTTAGTCGTATCATCTTTTATCTCCCTTAATTTTGTTTGTTTTCTCTTTTGTTTTTTATGTGAGAAAGATTGGTAGATGTTAAGAAAACTAAAACTATCAATGCTATAATAAAATAGTACTAAAATATCTGTCATGTTGTTGAACCAATGTGTCCAAAATAAATATTTATAAGCAAATGTATAATTACAAAAATAAACTATATAAAGCGATACAAAGATAGTCAATCAACACATCTACTAACCACGAGTTGTCATAATAATTTATTGATTTGATAACGTGCAATGATCTAATGACATCTTCCAAGGTTTTGACATTTGGAAGCTTGTCAATGTCTTCATGGGATGCAACTAACAACTTTACCTGTTTGGAATCAATTAATGAAATTAAGGTGATTCAACTTTAAATGCATGGTTTAAGAAGTTCTTATTTAAAACAGTTAATATACTCTGCCACAGTATGCAGCTTTGATGCCTTTTATGTTGGAGTGTATGATTACTTTTCAAATTCGTTTGGAAAAATTGAGATTCATGGTAGGTTTTCCATGTTTGAAATAAAATTCTAACATACTAGAGTATGTAAAATAAATACATAAATAAAAGATTCAAGAAATATTTGAGATTGATGAATATATAAAAATAATTAACTAACAGATGTTCGGGTAGAGAAATATAAATGTTTCAAGGAGAGTCAGAGTAATATTTACAGTGCCTAGGTGGAGAAACAAGATTTGAAATCGACGTAATAATTAATAAGTAAAGAAATAATAGACCTTGTTTATTGAGTAAAGTTTGTTTATTGAGTAAAGTTGACAATTTCAAGAGTTTACTCTTAGTGCTCAAGAGTGAAGACTAATTATTTATATAAATGTGGTTAAAATGTAACAAGATACATGCAATAAAATCACATAGCAATTAAATATTACATAAATTACTATCAAATGAGTTGTCAAACTCAGTAACATTTAATAATTTAAGGTAGAAAAAAAAAAAGTTGTGGAGATGAACATATATTAAGGCGCACATCATCTACAATCATAGACAAGAAGCCTAGCTTCAAATGAACGGAAGGATTGAAAAAGACTATAAGTAAAGAAGAGTGGTTTTACTCCTTTGTAATGAAGTGGAAAATAATAAACCGCAAGTCTAGAAAATAGAGGGAATCTTTGTATTACCATGGAGGCTGCACGGTTCAAACGGGACCACTGTTGGTGTCACACACCGACACGCGTCCGACAGTTAATTAGCATGTCCAACTATTTTTTTATTTTCTTATTTTTCGGACACATGAGCGACACAGACGCGCAAAAAGCAAAAACAAAAAGAACAAAAAGAACGTTTACTCACTCGAAGAAGATGAAGAGGAAAGAAGAATGGGGCGGAGGAGTTGGCGATGCTAAAGGAAGAAAGAGAAGACGAGAAGATGAAGGAGGCAACCGCTTGTTAGGATGAAAAATAGGATTGAAGAAGAACGAGGATGAAAATTAGGGTTAAGAATGATATTATGGAAATGGGCTGCGGTAAAACATTGGGAAGATATTATATGTTTCTTTGACTAATCAATAGATTCAGTAAAAATGTCTCGATATATGAACACTCACTAAAAGATTCGAAGACTCAATTGAAAGAATAATTAATTACAGAATCATCCTTGATAACTGAATAAAAAATAAAAAATAAAGTAGACTAGACTGTTATAAGACATGAAATCATCAATAAGGCTTACGGTGTTCCTAATAAAGAAAGTATAAATTGATGGTTACCTATTACTTTACTTGTTGTTAAAGAACAAATTTATAAAGAAGCAAATCAAATGCAAGACTAGTTGTATATCAAATTTAAACAAAATAATACAAAAATTTGATGAAATAAAAGATATTATTCTACACCACAATCTCTATAAAAATATATTGCCAAATTGGAAAGAATTAAACGTGCAAGCATCTACGGCACAAAAAAGCATAGCATAGAGAAAGTTACACAGATACCTGTGAAATCAAAGAATCGAGTGATCGCGCAAATGAAGGGAGAGGTAGAAATTCGTTTTTTGTTTGATAATTTTTAAACAGAAAATTGAGTGAGAAATCGTTTGTTTTCTGTTACCTACGAAAATCATTCGGTTCAACCAAAGTGTAAACCAAAAACAAAAGTAAAATTTAGGGTTTCTCGAAGAAAACCTGACGACTTGAGAAATTGGAAGGAGATGATGACCACGACGAGAGATAAACTTTCGGACTAATTTTATAGGTATTAAGAATAATGCTACTTAACGAACGAATCACACAAAATAATATAGGTATTAAAGTAAAAGTAAATTAAATTAAATTAAATGTAAATTAAGTTTAAAAAGTTCAAAATTAAAGCAGTGATGATTATGAAAACTATGCAAAAAAAAATAGGGTGCGATGGAAAGTCAATAACAACGTATCACGTCAAACTGGAATTGCGCGATTATATCTTTTTAATTTAAATTAATTATTATTATGGAACCTATAATATTTATATATTTTAATAGTATTTTTCTTATTTGAACAATTGAGAATATATCTTTATTTTATTCTAGCATAGAGCAGCTTTTATGAACAAAGGCAGTGTTTTTGAAAAATTATACCAACCAAATCAACTAAATATTTGTTTTGAAATTATCTAAAATGCCATTTGCTTTCAACAAAATCAAATAATCAAATTAGCTAATTTAAATCTAAACTAAATCCGTAAAAAAAATAAGTATTTAATTAAATAAACCTTCTTAAATTAGTAAAAAGACAAATTCAGATTTAAGTTTAGATTAGTTAATTATTTAATATTTCATAGATAATTTTAAAATCATTTTTATTTTAAAAATTGTATTTACTTTAACTTTAAAATCAATAGACTATCTAAACCCAAATTGCATTCAAACGATTTATTGAAGAATTTCAAACACAAACCTTACAATTTTTTTTAAAATAGAAATATTTATGGAAAGAAAAATTGATAGGTTGGAGAGGGCTAATGTATGCAATTTCCATTTTAATTTTAATTTTTGTAATTTAAATTAATATTTATTAATGTAACTTATTTTTTAAACTAATTTTATCACTATATTATTTAACTAATTCTTTTAGAAAAATACATTACTAAAAAAATCCTAAACTTGTAAGCTGTAAATTAAAAATTTTTTAAATGAAAAATATAAATTTGAACTTCTGAAACGATAAAAACTAGAAACCAAAAGATATTATTTTAATAATGCTATTTTTAAAACTTATTCCAAATATATGACACTATCCAAATAGATGGTCGTACTGAAGGGATGTGAATCTCGTAACGGAAGTAGTAGAACGCGTTCTTCAATTTCTTTTGAAGGAAGAATGTTGGATTTTACCTAATTTTAGATTTTTCTTCGTGTGATCCCAATGAGACAACACCAAATCTTCCTTTTAGGTTTCTCAGTCGAGAAGATTTCAAGCATTTACTTTAGCATCGGTTGAGCTTATGTTATATTTATAAATAGGGAAAATCTTAAGACCATTACGATATCTTATCCTTTTGGATATAAGATATCTTCTCACTAGGGAAATCCCAAAGCCATCAAGATATCTTCTTCTTTTTAATTACTAATAAACAAATTCATTAAATCAATTAACAATTAATTAATTTAATTAATAAATATTAAACTAATTAATAATTAATTAATTTAAATCCAAATATTAATTGAATAAATAATTAACCATTAATTATTTAACTTTTAATTAAATATCACATATCTCATTAAAACTATGAATCATATTCAAATGCATCTCTTTTGTATAACCTATAGTTTTAATATGAATCCAATTCATATTAATGATTTGAATCCTATTCAAATATTTCTCTCATAGCATATAGTTTAATTATTAGATCTTTATTAAAAAATAAACTATATATATAAGGTATCATAATATACATTATATATTCCCTAATATATAATTTGAGCATTTCAAATTCTCTTAAAATTTTGAACCTCGTTTTACTCGTTTTGAGCTAGCAAGGGGACCTAATAGACTTACAGATCAGAAGCTTTTAACAATACGAGATTAATCAGTCAAACTCATTAACCGAGATAATCAACATTTGTTAACTGCGGGTCACTCCACTAAAGACCTGCAACTGCACTCTTCTCA